GACTTGGGAACCAAAAGTCTACATGGATCGCGCATCAAGGCACTGTTGCACAAGGTTGGAGTACGTGATGCGCAGGATGACTTCGCACTTGTTGGCAGTGAAGAGTTTCAAAATCTTCTTGATGGTAACACTGTTCGCAAACTTGTGCGTCTTGTGAAGCAGCAGGGAAATGTGGGAAACTCAGTCGGACTGCAAGTTGCTATGATTGTCTTGTCGCACGCCTTGAGCCAGCATGCCGTTGCAGCAGCCGCAGATGCTGATGATCATGATGATGATGGCAATGCAGATGGCATGCATAGCAGCTTTCAACAGGTGTTGGAGTTTATCATGATGTTGGCTGCGTTTGCAGGTGAGTATGCCCAGCTTTACCCTGTTGCCAGTACCGCGTTTGTGCAAGGGTCCATGTGGATGATCTTGATTTGCCTGGGGTGGTGCATGTGCCGGAGACGCAGTGTGGAGTTGGCCATCAGCCGTGATGCGTCAGGAGGCGAAGGGTCTCCTGCATCGCCGCGTGGTGCCAAAAGCAAGCGAATGACAAAGCCACCCAGGCGCGAGGAGGATGAAGGCGTAACAAGTGACAAGCCCGAGGAGGCCAGCAGCAGCAATGGTCCAGCTGGGAGAGTGAGCTTCAACGTGCCGTTGACACCGGGTGCATCAGTGAAGCTTGAGGTCTCCAGCGGTGATGGAAGCAAGAACCCCAGCAGCGTGAGCGCTGAGAGCGCGAGTGAGCATGAGTTTCCACGTGCGCGTCGCGAGCCGATCAAGCCAAAGGCAAAGACTGCAAGCAGAAGCAATGATGAAGTTTGGGTTTCTGGAGCCCAAGGGTACTGCTATCACAGAGCAGGATGCGGCAAGCTGAATCAAAGCCACAATGTGACATCCACGACAAGAAGTGCAGCCGAGAGCCGTGGATACCGCGCATGTCGCATCTGTCATCCTTGAAGTGTTGCTTGGATTATAATGCTCATGATGGCCAGCCCTTGAGTGGACAGCTCTGCACTGTTCACTGATCGGCTGGATTGTGTACAGTGGCGATGTACAAAGCTTGCGATGATATATGCGCACAATGGCCGTGCATTTTGCACAATATGGCCAGGCAGATCCATTTTACGTCTTGAATGCAAGCATCTTGACTTGATGGACCAACACCATTTTGGTGTCAATACTTGATGATGTGAACCTGCGATATCGATGGATGTGGAGCATCCTGAAACTTCATGGCGATCTTTGGACGTCCGATGGTAACTAGGCCATCGCAATCTTGTGCAAATCTTAAAGAGATTATGCAAGTGACATATGTATCCTTGATCTTGGATGGGCGGCCGCATCGCACAGTTGAGTCGCTTATGATCTTGGACAAAGGCCTTCGCTTGGGTCAGTCAAGCAATCGCTTCGCAGGCAGTCCATGCCTGAAGAAGCGGTGGTAACTAGTTGTAGCTACTTGTACAGGTTAGAGTAGCTGAAGCGCCAAAGACCTTTTGTGGCAGTGCGCTAACCGAGGGGAAACGTTTGTTGCAATCTGTGGAGCTGTAAACTTGTGTTGTTTTGTTCGTACTTTGGGGCAGCGGCAAACTTTGTAAAGAGACTCACGAAGTCGTTTGCTCTTTAGGCGGGGTGCTAAAGTTTGTACCCCTACGTGCTGCCGTACTGAACTAGTTGCTTGGAGTTTTACTACTTGCTCCACCGTAGAGTTACTTTGAGCCCAATACGGAATATGTGACTCCGCAGGCGTGTGAATCACTGGAAAAGTTTAGCAATTCCAAATGAGGAACTCGGAACTACCCCTATCGAGCATTACGTCAGACGTCTGGTGACCTATTTGGCAAGGATTCAATCTGTTATGCAGAACACTGACTACGGCTTGGCGCTCAAGGTTTACGTGAAGCTCGGAACTACAGACTGGTTGAAGATGTATTCCAGGCTTTATCATGGTTGTGACTTGCATCCATGCGAGAACCTACCTACGCCAGCAATGCTCACAGTCGCGGCTCTCGTCAACACTGAGGAGGACCTCATAGATCCTGATGCGGAAAGGGAGATCATCGTGCCATCTGACAGAGAAAGACATGAAGCGGAAGTCGCCCATCATCGACAACAAGCTATTGAAGCAGCGAAAGAGATGCGATCGAAGCTTTCCGTTGGTGGGAGTCCCGATGCCACAACGATACGGTCACAACCTACCATCTTGTGTACCGACTTCGAGCTGTACGCCAAGAACGGAGCAACACATTTTCCACTTCAGAATGAGATGATGAGCAAAGGGTGGGGTCAGTTCGTCAGGTTTTCGCCAACGATCAGCACCGTGGTCAACTTCTCGGAGACGCAGAAGGTCTTCAGTAACCTAATTGACAGTCTCGAAAGAATGCCACAGGAACAAAGATCAATGGTGACCATACACATTCACCTCTGCCTGCAAGCCATTCCATTGTCCATGAGAACCTTGCGGTACCGCTACACGAGTCGTCCTTGCAAGCACAGGAGAACATGGAGCGGATCTTGAAGGATGTCTACATCAAACACTTCGACAAGATCCTAAGCTTGGTTCCCAGGCCTCCCATCGTGATGATTAATCACGACAGGCGTTTTCTTGCAGCTTCACATAAAGTTCTTGATCAAAGGCAGAACTTTGCAGGGTATGATGCCGTGGGCGCTTACCTGTCTCTTCAACTACGTTTCCTAGGATGTATCGTGGTTCATGGCTCCTCCTTTTCGTGCAAGATAATGAGCTCGTTGAGAGAGAGCCAATCAGGGTCTCACTTGTTCAGCGTCGACAAGATCACAGAGCACGAACAGAGGATTCGCAGTTTACGAGAAACAAATATTCTGTGAAAAGATGATTGCAGCTTGCTTTCTGAACACGCAGCAGTTGGGGACCTGGGAGGAGATGCTTCACCGGAAAGCCACTGACATCAAGCGGTTCACAGAAATATGCACTGACAATACACAGGTGCATGTCTCCTCTTCGGTGAATCTGAAGTCTTGGATTCCACTTCATAAACGTCGTGCCATCGAAGAGGAGAACAGGCGTGTTGACATGGTCAGACGTCCTGATGTGGAGTGGCAAAACTTCGACATTGCCCTGAGCATTCCGGAGCCATCGTACTCTGATGAGCAGAGGTGGTTATTCAGGATCGATGACTACAGCACGTCAGACATCAACGCATGGGCAACGACGGAGACATTCTTTTGCGAAAGGTGTGAACAAGAAAAGAGTGCCAGTGTCTTTTGCCGGGACTCTACTTCGTTTGCATCAGGACCACAGTTTCCAGATCAGTGCATGGGTTGCGCATACAAGAACGCCCTCTACAATTCGTTCTACAGGATCAAAGATTACAGGGAAATGCGTGACAGCGAAACGTATGCCCTGGCACGTGCAAGGTACCTCTACGTTCAGAAATTTCAGGAGGCGAAGCCGGGTGATGATTTGCTTGAGTACATCAAGAAATGTTGCCCTCTCGTCTACATGTCCGTGGGAAAGGTGGTGTCTTCATACGGTGGCCTTCGATGCCCCATTGCAACAAGCGTGGCATACGCGTCATGGGGAAAGGCAAGACAGTTAGCATGGGACAGAGCGTACGATGCACAGAACAACCTTCGCTTCATCGCGTACTACGATGCAGGGAACGCCGCGTACGCAGGCTTCATGAAGACATTGTTGACTCCACAAGAACGAGAACGCTTGTTCAGAGGAAGCGAGAACCCTGCGGAGGAACTCCTGGGCGACGTGTTCGAATTGGCCTTGGGATTATTGTTCAAGGCTTGGGGAAGTCCACAGGACATCGACGCGTGCATCTATGGCACCGCGAGGAACCAAGCCCTGGAACAACTTAAATGGACC